AAAGGAGATGTACAGTTGGATGTCATCCGTGTGAAGACGCTAGGAGGCTCCTTTAAATGAGCTCAGCAGGTGCTGTAAAGGAAGCAGATAGAGCAGGGCCGTGCAGAGACCTTTGAAGGGGCGGGTGCTCAAAGTTAAAAAAGGGGCACATATACAGGGTTTTCCTGTATTCAAATTTGCGTGGCGGCCGCCTCCAGCTATTTTTGTGGCGCCCCAGCCTGATTTCACTCTGCCCCCAGCTATATGGATGTTACTGTAACTGCAGTTGCAGCGTTGCGCCACTACAGGGCGCTGTACCAGCAGCGGTGCACCGAAAAGCGCTAAAACCGCTGCAGAAAAAGATCAAAATGTGCTTTTCTCGCTAGTTGGTACATACCTATGGTTGGTGCTATTAACGTCCTGATTTTCCCCCAGCTCTTCCATATCGGAGCAGGGCTGTAACTGTCTGTGCGTGTCTGTCTATTTTTAAACGTAGCACGGGTGAAACATCTTTGAATTACTATTTTCCCCAGAACTTTGTTGAACAAAAGTAAGTTACGTGTAAGAAAATGCTTTTTACTGGCGCACAGTGTGGTCATCTGGATGCAGTGGAGGAAAATAAAGGAACCAACAAAGGCACAAAGGCAGAACCGGTCCAAACTTTGGGATCAAAAGTGCAGCTACACGCAGATTAGCTAATGCCAAAGCTAACAGGTAGCAGTCTCGCGATCAAGTGGCGCACAGAAAAATATATGATGATGATGATCGTAAAACTATGAAAGACTAAACTCTACAAGCGGATGAAAAGTCCCCACCATCCTGTTTATTCTGCATCCTGCAGCACTACGGATCAGAACCGCTGCAGATACGGGTCACATTACATCTAAAAGACTACGGCAAGCCATTGTGGTATATAATTCACAAACGCTTCTATCTTTGAACATAATTTGAACTGGATTATTGCTAACCCGTACATAATAGACATGCCACCATTACATTGTTAGCAGCAGAAATTAAATGTTATTACCATTTCCAACAAAAGTGCATGTTAATGAAATGCATTATATTTTACTGCATATATTTATGTGTTATTATGACTAAGATGAGTGTTATTAATACAAACCTAAAATGTTACTGAAATGTAGGTCAAATATATAAAAATATTTTAACTATAAATATCAGATGGGAAAAAGGAACTAAACACCAATCTGATGCATATTATTGAGCCTTTCATAATAAGAGTCTGTTATTTCAGCCTGATCATTTTGTTGTTTTATTTCATATTTTTTAGCAGCAAACCAGTTTTGTTTCACTTGAAACGTTGTCAGATGGAATATTCTATTAATCGCCAGAAGCTTAGATTAGAACACTTAACGAAAACATATTTAGCCTTTAAAAAAGTGAGGCAGTTGAATGCACAGAGTATGCATGTGCTGGCGCACGGTCAGGATGGTACCACCTCTGCCTCAGTCTGAGCCAGGAAAAACCCTGATATAGAGCAAAGTTTTTAAACAGATTCATGATCCAACAAGTTAAAAAGTTCAGATAATGAGACCCTTGGTTTCAAACAACATAATGTAAACTAGGAAAATATGTCATTAATTACGGTAACGTTATTTCATAAACAGTTGTTTTAGTTTTTAAAGCTGACTTATGTTACAACCACATTTTTGCCCCTGATCTGAATCCAAGTTGTTTGATTTTTGATTATCTTCCAATACCGAGTCCTGTTCTGATACCAGGTGGTGATGCAATGCATTAACAAAGAAGAAAATGGAGAAAGTCCCATAGTCATCATCACATACTGATCTCATTGGAGGGGAGTGGTGAGAAGCAGCAGTGGCTGGGCTCAGGAACTATTTGGTGGTTTTACCCCCAATCCAACCCCTTAAAGCTGAGTGTCAAGCAGGGAGGCATTGGGACCCATTTTTAAAGTCTTTGGTATGACCCGACCGAGAATGGAACCTGATCTCACAGTCCCAGGGAGGACAGTACCACAAGGCCACTGAGCTGGTCCCATAATGTCCTTCTGTCTGTATTTGTATTCCAAATGGACTAAAGACAGCTCAGGTAAGAGGTGGTAAAATAAAATAAGTCAAATAAATGCAACCATAGGAAGTTATCCAGTGTGATCCACAGCTATGCTAGCTGTAGATCTTTTCCTGTCTGTAGGAAGTTCCTGATCCAATTCCATGATGTCACTCTGAGTTTGCCTGTGTGCAGCTCCGACGTTGGATGTGTGTGTACAGAGGAAGTGAGTTGAGAGGAGCAGCATGTTGGCGTACTGACTGTGTGATTCGGCTGCAGCCCAGATTGGACAAAACAAGCAATAACTGGAGTTCTGTGTGTAAACTGGCCTGAATATGAAAATAGAAAACAAGAAACACAAGAAAAAGTTGTAAACGACAGCTTTACTTTAGAAACTATATAGAAAAGTCAGACAACTGCTAAAAGGTGAATCAAAAACAGATGTGTAGAAAAACAACTGTTGCTCAGAGTGCTCTTAAAGCTGCAGTTTGACTTGCTCTCATGTTTCCATAAGACCACCACCCACTCGACTAGGACATTAAATTCACTGAGCTGCATGCTGACTTAGCGACTGCTCTCTGGAGTCACATGTGGAGGCTGTAGTAAGCATTTTGTTTTTGTCTTTAGCGCTGCAGACCATTTATTGCAGCACGGATTTACTGAATAGTTTCACAACTTTTAAATCAAAAAGATAATCAGTCCATCGCCATTCTCCTTCCCGGCACCTCCGTTCTGCTGACTCCAACCTCCTTTCCCCTTTCAGAACAAAACATGGCACCATGGGGGATCGAGCCTTTGCAGCCGCTGCCCCCACACTTTGGAACTCTCTCCCACTAAACATCAGGAACGCCGTCTCTCTTTCTACTTTTAAGTCACTGCTTAAAACCCACTTCTTTAAATTGGCCTTCTCTTAAGATCAACCCAGCATCCCCCAGTCTGTTTACTATGTTTCATGTTGTTTTATTATGTGTTTATTGCATTTTTTGTGAAGCCTGACTGACCTAAAAAGCGCTAGACAAGTTTAATGTATTATTATTATTATTATCACTTACAACCACAGAAGGCAAAGTGTGTCCCCACTCCCTGTTCAGCCATTTTCCTGCACCAGATCTGGCGTTTACAGATGTTTCACACCTGTGTGAATAACACAGCTGTCTAAGAGAAAAACCACTTCTCCAACTCATTTACTTATTTACATATCTGAAAGGTGGCAGCCCTACCTGTGTCCATGCTGTCCTGGTCCAGGTGGTGAAGAACACACGATGAATCAGTCCCAGCTGATGGATGATCCTGAAGTGGTAGCAGGTTTTCTTTAGCCGTGTTTAGCTAACAGCTGCAATAGAAACAAAGCAGGAGAGCTGATTAAGATGCTGCTTCAGAACAACGCAGGAGATTAAAGATCCAACGCTTTGGTTCTGATCAGCTGAGGACAGATCCAGTCTGGAAAAGAGGACCTTTGCTCACCAGAGTTCTCTTCTGTTCTTCCAGCTACAGACTAAATAGAAGATGGATGCTCTACAAAAATACTAACAACGGTTTCTCCTGTTTAGTTCTGTCTGGTGGCTCACTAAATCCAGCATGTGCGCGCGCCTGTTCTAGGGATCTCTTTGTTAAAACTATTTAACGGTAATAAAATAGTTTGTTGATTTTAAACAGGGAAACCACCACTCGCGATTTAGCGATAGCATGATGCTAACTCCATTAGGCCGCTAGCGTGCTTTCCCTCAAAAAGAAACGGTGTCCACTCACCAAGTGAACTGCTCCACTCACTAAAGACGGTAAATGTTCCAGATCCAACTACGTTACTGACTGTACTACCGACTACTGACTACCAAAACTCACCAAGTCTACCGAATTATCTCAGAACAGCACAGCTTCTAGGTCGTGTCTCGACAACTACAGTTGGCTACAGCTTAGCTTAGTTGTAGCACGGGGCAGGGAGTGGGCACCACAATACCATATATGGAAACGGTGCCATTGCTTTCTGGAACTGAAGGGGGCGCTAATGTCGAGCTACCGTTTTGGAAAAAATCTTGATTCAAACTGTTCATGAAACAATATATAATTCTAGGTAAACTATCGTAATTTCTATATTTCTGATTCATAAATATTTACTGTTTATTACAATATTTTTTGAACGTCGTTGTACTAAACATGACACAGTCAACAATCATTTAAACTATAATTTTCAATAATCTTCATCAAAGAATGACTGATTCTTCACACTTTTCACATCACTTTAATTTTTTTAAATTAGTGTGGTATTTTTTAAATGCCATTGTCATTCGAAATCTCATGAGGATGATTTTTACAAATGGCCTAGTTTTATACTATTTGTAGGAAACTGTAACCATTTGAGTTTGATGAGACTATTCATAGTATTTAAAACTGATATTTAAACCTAATTCCTCCAAAGATGTAAGATCAGCTCTCCTAAGTGTCACCTGTGTCTCAAAATGAAATGAGTTGTCCTGATTTCATTTTTTTGTTATGTTATCATGTAACCTAATGAAAAAATTGGGTAAATGTGTGGAGAAAACTTTCCATTTTAGCAAAAAGAATAACTTCCAAAAGGATGGCTCTGTTGAACAGCTGCTGAGAACGACTTTTATGGATTTTAGTTTCATATCAATATAATTTCTAAAAACATGTGAAACTCCAAAAATTAGAATGTTGCACATTCATTTATTTTAGTAAAAGCAAAACCAATTGTAAAGTACTTATGTCTGACAATTTTCTATTTAAAAGCAGTGTTGGATGTTTTTAATGTAATATTCTAATTGTCTGAATTTTTGAATGCAGGGTTTTCATCATCTGTAAGCCATAATTATTACAATTATAACAAATAAAGGCTGAAATATCTGGCTTTGTATGGAATGAGTCTTATTACTGAAATAAATCAACTTTTTCACTATATTCTCATGTTTTGAGTTTTACCTGTAATTAGATTTTTTATTAAGTTCATTTGAATCATTTTTATATAAACTGCAACCAATTTTTCAAGAAACTTTATTCTCAAACAGAGGAACAACAGGATATTGTTTCAAAAAATCTAAACAGCAGCAGTTCTTTTCAACATTACAAAAAACACATGTGAGTGCACTTGCTGCAGAAATGTTTCACTGGACTATTTGGCAATGTTTGAACATTTGAACATGCTCAATGCTGACAGCCAGGGCAGTGTCCAGGTATCCCACCAGAGTAATAGCGAGGGTACTTTCCTCTTCGTCCTTTTCCCGTGAAGCCCACACAGTCTTTGTATAGACCGTGCTCAGACTTGAAGGTTGCAGAAAACCTGCTCCAGTGAATCTCACCTATTAACAAAATGATAATTAAATTAAGCCAATTAATTAACATCATTGGTCATTTATTACCATCCAGCCAGGCAAAGTGGGCCTTCTTCCTAAAAACAGGATCTGAAACAATGGTGATGAAGTGGTTGCAGGTCAGTGCCAATGACAGGTAAGCTGCATCTCCTTCTGTTAGGATCACCTCCAGGAGCACAGCTTCAAGCACAAGTCTATGAAAACAACACACATGTGCACCGTGAGACTGTCATAAAATTACAAGACAACATGAATGTTTATTTATTGATTTTTGTCATTTAAAAGGAAAAGAAAGAACACAGTAATACAGAATCTCAATTATAGTAACCAAACAGGTGTAGGCTGAAGCCTAGCTTTTTATGCCTACCCTATTTACTCAATCACATTACTTCTCAAAAAAAAAAGAAATGACAATAATAAGATAAAAGTAATGTAATAATAAAAATGAGAGTGAGATAAAAATAATAATTATCAATCGATCAATCAAATATACTTTACAGGGGCGGTTCTAGACCAAATTTTCCAGGGGGGCCACAGTGGGGCCAGTATTTTTTCATGGGGGCGCAAGAAAAAAAAATTCATAATAAAAGACAATGAACAAGTAAACTATTACGGCGAATGCAGTAATGGTTTACTTGTGAAAGTAAAACCGGCATGTTTTATGGTACTCAGATAACAATTCTGAATGCTTCACCGCAACATGAGACTTGAGTAAAAAGACAATTCTAGTCAATTATTACAGTTTGTGACTTTATTTGAAGATTATATGAAATGTACATATGAAAAATAAACATTCAAATAAAATATCTGCACAATACAATTTGCTTTTTGTAGTCAACACACACACACACACACACACACACACACACACACACACACACACACACACACACACACACACACGCACACACACACACGCACACACACGCGCACACACACACACACACACACACACTTGTTTTGTGTAAGTTTGTGCTGATTTAGTTTTACAGCATAAATCATCATCAAGATGTGACACAGTAATTGGTCACACAGTAATCTGTCCCATTACAATAACAGTATTCTACGTTTGTGCTGTCTTGCAAAACGGTCTACAAATGCTTCAAGGTTCAGAGCCTTGGCCCATCTGGATTCAATGCTTAGCACCCCTAGATTGCTAAGGCGCTCATCTATAGTGGTAGACCGGAGGTAGGTTTTTACTCATTTTAATGTTGAAAAACTCCGCTCACAAGAGGCAGAACTTACTGGGAGTGCAACTGTGATTTTGCACAGTCTAAAGAACTCGTAAAATACCTCTTTGTATGGCTCTGTGAAACGGATCAACTCCACTGTATCAGAAAGCTTTTCAACCACACCAGTCTTTATTTTTCTATCCAAAAGTCTCTTGAACTGATGCAGTTCATGCCCCAGATCCTCAATATTAGCATCAAAAAGATGACCAAACTCAAACAAAGTGGTGTCTTTCAAAAAAGCATCACTTTTAGGGTTAAGAGATCGAATACTGCTCAGCTCACAACTGGTGTTTGAAAAACGTCTGCTCAGTTCACTTAGCATGCAGTCAATGACAGGATAAAAAAGAAGACCGATAAGTTTCTTTGTCAGAGGCCAGCTCCCTCTGACCAACTGAGCTTAGTAGGTGGTACTCACGAAGTCTGGAGCTTGTCTTTATCTGTCGTTTTGCTTCCGACTGTGTGGCAGCATCACACTGTTCACAGATGTTCAGTACTTCCCCCCACAACTTGTCAAAAAAGGACTCCTGCCTGAAATCTGTTAAAGTCTGCACCAATCCTTCAACTAAATCGGCTGCTTTTGAGAGGTCAACAGTTGAGGATTGCAGCATATCTGAAAGAAGCTTTGTTTCTCCGAACAATGTACGGAGCGTAACAAGATGCACAACAAATTCTAGGTCAATCTGTGCCAGAAGACCTCGAGCCTCAGAAGATTTTCCTCCCCTGCGCTCTTGTGCAGTCTCTTGCAGGACACGTTTTAGGGCAGGTAATCTGTCCATTATGTTGCGTAGAGCAATGAATCGGCAAGCCCATCTTGTGTCACTTAATTTTGTAGCTCTCTTGTGCTGCCATACATCTCATTTTGCACAGCCAGCCATTTGGGGTGTACCTATGAGCCAGAAGTAAAAACATAGAGACTCTGTAACAGAGCAAAACATTCCTCTGCTTCTGGGACTGCTTTGATAGAATCAACTCATACTAAATTGAGACAGTGGGCACTGCAATGGATGTAAAATGCAAATGGAGCTGTCTCTTTAATTTTAGCCTGGACCCCAGAATGCTTACCACTCATTACAGCAGCACCGTCATATGCTTGGCCTATAAGGTTGTTTTTGTAGTCTAACCCATGGCGTCCTAATAGGTTGACTATTACTATCTTTTCAGTAAGGCCCACTGCATCTAGTCTTTCTGCAGATTCAAAATGGAGAAAACTTTCCTTGATAGCTCCATCATAATAGTACCTGAGTATGAATGATATCTGCTCCTGTTTTGAAACATCTTTAGTCTCATCTGCCATGATGCTGAAATACTGACTGCTTTTCACTTCTTCAATGATTTCAGAGCGTACCATTTCTGCCAAACAACCAAGAACCTCATTTTGAACGATCTTGCTTGTGTATTTTGCGTTGTGAATGGATGTGAGTCTACGTTTAACAGCTGGATCATGATTTGCAACCATTTCAAGAATTTCCCTGAAGTTGCCTTTGTTATTTGATTCCTCAGACTCATTGTGTCCTCTCTGGGCTATGTTTTGCCGAGCTGTAAGCAAAATCACTTCACCAATTGTTCTGATATACTCACGATTTTCTTTAACCTTTTTACTGTGGTCCTTGTCGAGTACATTAGCCAATGTTGTATTAGCTTTCACAGCCCTCTGGTAGTCCCTCCACGCTATCATTGAACCCTTATGCCTTTCAGACTTTGCACGTACTGAAACCCCCCCTCCTCTCTCAGTTGCTTTTTTCCAGTTCCCAAATCCACACTGAGAGTCAAACACACTTCCTGCGCTACTTGGTGGGCTAAAATGTCTGCATGCATGACAATAAGTAGAGTCCATAGTAACAGAATATTCAACCCAAGGATGACTTTCATACCAGCTTGGCTAAATGCGTCTTCTGTCTCCTATTAATGTCCCTGGAAATGTCCTCAAACTAGGCTGAGTAGGTGGGTCCTCCTTGCACTTGCTGATATCTGAAAGAAAATAAATGTTAGCATGAGGATAAAAGTCATAATTAGTTAATTCAGAGTCTTATTTTATCTATTTATTAAATATAAACAACAGAAATTTTGGTCCAGAGTCAGCATGCCTCAAATGCATTTTACACACAACATGAGCTGCAATCACAGATTCAACACCCACAAACCTGACGGTAGTGTACACGGTGCACATGACAGCAGATGTCCCTCTTTTTGCTCCTCACTCTCTCCCTCACAGCCTACATCTTCCTCCTCCTCACTCTCAGGGTGGACAACCTCTGACCTCTCTGGTTCCTCTCCAACCATCTCCTCCTTCTCTTTCATCCTGCTTCTCAGCTCCCTCGTGACTTTCATCCTCTCTCTGTCTACGCTGTTCTTTATAAACAGCGGTAAAAAAGGACAAAATGTCCATTTTTCTTTTCATTGCCGCTGATGCTTCCAGTCAGTGCTGCGAGAAAGTCATAGATAAATGAATACTGTGATCTAATCTCAACGTGTCTAAGGCTTAAAATGCAGCAACTTCGTTTTTATTTTACAGTTAATGTTACAAAGGAACAACAAGTCAGTATTAACTGTGGATAGACTCAGTTAGGAACTTAAAAGTAAATGACAGAAACGCGCGACTACGATCAAAACATTGATGTCAGGAAAATAAACTGTATTGCTTACCTTCGTCTCTTAGCGTCTTTTCCGTTTGGCGTCCTCAAGAACTTCTTCGGGTCCCATTTAAATTATTTTTAATCTTTTATTCAAAAATCCACCGGGTAAACAGGCTGTGTCCGAATCCAGGGGTAGGATGCTTGTGAGTACGGGTCCTCGCCGGTCTAGCAAGGCCTGGTCCTTGCAAGACCGCTAAAACCGGAAGTCAGCGGCTCTGAATTCGGACAGTACTAGCCTCGTTTTTATTCCCGCCCCCAGGTCAAGTTGCCTAGCTACCGTGACGGCGGCAAACAGGCTAACAAGCTAGTAGCGACGTTGAAAATGGATCCACAGCAATATTTCATTTTATTTGTGGTTTTTGAGGAGCTGCGACGGCTCAATAAACGTCACCGGCCTTTGTATTTAAAGTTTAAAAATCATTTAGTCCTGTTATCTGCTAGCGTTACAAGTATCATACTCATGATCTCCTTTTTTGCATATATCTGAATGTTAGTGATGTGACAGCCGTCGATTGAGCCAGCCCAGCAAACCCTTTTGATGGACGATGCAGTGGACAGTGAGATGACGCATCCAGAAGCTCCCTCTGCAGACCACTCTGTCTGATGTTCCACTTGCCATCCAGAAACGTTCAGCCACGGATCTCGGTTCCTGCACTCCATCCACCTCGATCCATGTTTAGTAGATTTAGCAACACCACCAAAGACTCCCTGCTTTCCAAGTTTACTGTATATATTTTACTTTTATCTTTACTTTTATTCCTTACAGTGTTCCCTTACAATTTATTTACTATGTTGTTACTTTTTAAAAACTGAATAATAAAACTGTTAATGATCAAAAAAAGAGTTATCAATTAATAGAAATTTTATTACATTTAAACAAATAACAAAAACATTCAAACACATATATAGAACCTGAACCAGAAGAAACTAAAAGAAAAAAAACCCATTTCTCTGCCATCCTTTCCATCAATGCTAAAAATCTGTCCATCCTTCTTTCTCTCCTCTCCTCCGCTTCCCTCTGTTGTCTCATGTCCTCCCTGATCAGGTCAAGGAGTTCATCAGCCCTTCTCCTTTTTCTCCCTGATGAGGAGTCCGGCTTCCTTCCACCACTCTCCCTGTCCTCTGTCTCACCCACTGCTGCACTTGGCCCTGGAGTGTCCTCGGGAATGGAAGCAATAAGGACAGGAGGCATAGTGGAAGGCCTCTGTCCCAACACCTCGTCCATGGGGACAAACCAGGGCCAGGTTTCAGCAGTGGGCTTTCCGCTGACTCCCTCTCCTGACCCTGGATACTTGCAGTCCTACAGACAAAGGGAATTAGAATTACAAGGCTTTATTGTCATTTAACAACAGAGAACACTGTGGGCATAATGAAACTACAGATGCTCCTTAAAGGTACTGGTTCTGGATGAGAATAGAGAGGAATAGAAGAACAAAGTCAGATTATAAATCATAGTTGATAAAACATGCAATAAACAATATTTTAATTTATCAACATGGGAGATGAAAATTGTGTTCTGTGTTTTTTTCCGCCTAAAATGAAATTAAAAACATTAAATCAGTAATGTGGTTTCTTAAAAATTAACTTAAATAAACATTAAACTTAGTTTTCATTATTTTTGGCGTTCGTTACATGATTACATAAGATGCAAGCTCTTTTACGGTGAGTTTTTTCTTATTAGACTTTCAAGCAAGTTTACGGTGGGGTGTTAACCTTAAAACAAATGATGAGAAGCTTTATTCGCTAAATAAACACACACACACGGGAATTATGACGGGACCACCAAACAAGCTCGTTCTCGCTGATTTCTGCTTAAAATGTACTTATACAAACGACAAATGTCTATAAACAGAACCGCTTTCAGCTTAGTTTTCTACCGCTATTTCCTTTTAAAAAGCCTGCTGGGATCAAGCTAGTTTACGGTGGGTTTTTCCTATTAAACACTCAAGCTGGTTTTCGGTGGGGCATGTTTTAGTCTTAAATTACATGAAAAAAAAAAACAATTTGCGGTATTAGATCTTATATAAAACACAAACCAAAAGTGCCCAAACATGTATTTTATTTTTTTGACCGCTATTTTTTTTTAACTAACTTACATTTTACGCTGTACTGCTCTCCCGCTCCGTCCGCCGTTGTTGCGAGTGTCGAGTCCAGCGGCCGGCGCGCAAAGCATGCTGGGATACCCTTGCTCCTGTGAGGATCCATCAGACCCATCCTCGAAATGTGGGTGGAGCGAGGACGCGTTTGAGGACGCGAGAATGAGGATTCTTGGAATTCGGACACTACTCGTCGCTGCGCTTTGACGTCATCGACCTCAAAATGCGCTCTCACAAGCATCCTTCCTCTGGATTCGGACACAGCCAGCGTTGTCTCCAACAGGGCCCGACCCAGCAGCACCTCCAACAGGACCCGATCCAGCAGCACCTCCAACAGGGCCCTGATCCACTTCAGTGGAATCTGTTTCCTCCTGGCCTTTGACTTTAAAAAAGGCAGTTTTGGACTTAGAATGTGGGGCCAAAGTTTCTCCAAACGAAACCCATCCACCCATGGACGTCACTAGGATTGAGATATAGGGGGGGCTTAGCCCCAGGAGCTTGACCTCGAACGTTTTTTGTCACACCCTGCAAAAACGTTGTCAATTAATTCATTATCTGAAGAAAATCTAACAAAACCTATTATTTTATCACTTTCCTTTCCTTTCCTACTTTTGTGCATTTTTTCTCTTCTTTTTATAAAAAATAACACTTAATCAGTTAATTAGTGGGGTCTATGTTGAAGAAAGATTTTATGTAAGTCCATTAAAAATTTGATATGTTATATTTCCAAATAAAGCTATTCATTTCAGTCTACTGCACTTAACAGGGGGAAATGTTGTAGTCATTTATTAAATTTGTTTAATTACAACTTGTTTAATTATAAATGTTACTTAAATGTGACAAAGAACAAATGAATAATTGTCAAACTTTTATTCTGCCAAATGAGTGTGCAGTTGACAGTTTTAATATATGAATAACACTGCTATGATATGGAATAAAGGAGTATATAATTACAAATACAAAATACAAAATAACAGTATATATGAAAATATCCAGCAAGTAGTAGAACTTATAATACAGAAAGTCAACTATACAGATACAACTTGACATAAGGTTGCAGGCCAGATGATAATTATAGTTTTTTTTTCTCAAGGTCTCTTACCTGCTCACTCCTAAATAGAAAACTGTTCAGTTTTGCTTGGGAACTTTGTGCTCAGGTAAATGCTCATAATGGTGCACTCGCCCCTGTTTTCTCTGTAGATCACTGACCTTGACCATGCAGATCTCCTCAGCCTCAACCACCTGGTCTCTCTCCTGTTCCTCACTCACTCTCTTAAAAAAATCTTCGTATATCCATCTAGCCAACACATTGAAAAACATTTTCAATTTCTAATGCCAAGACAAATGCTTCTATGCCATTTAGTTTTCACTCACAATAACTGAAACAGCCATTGGTGGATAAATGGGACAGAATATGGACAACTGTTAGCCTAATATAGCCTATGCTTGGTTGCTCATGATGATGGCATTTTCCATAATGTCACATTAAGCTGCCAAAATTTATGTTAAAGTTAGACGAGTACAATATCTCCTTTCTTTCCCATAGGTAAACATAGGAAATATTAAGCAATTGACAACCCACATGGAAAGAATTCATATAAACATATAGGTTTTAATATATGTTTTGATGTAGCTTTTGAATATACCGTAAATCCTCTAATACAGGCCGGTATTCAATTAAAGGCCGGGTCTCCAATTTTGGCCGGTGTCAGAGTCAGCGGAGGTAAATAATGGCCGGTCTCTTATTGTGGCCGGATGGAATGTGGTAACAAACAAGTACGAGCGTCCCAGCGGCAGGGTTATAGTTCCCAAATCAACCAGCAGGAGGCAGTAGGGGTTCACGCAAACCTTTATTAGGCTTTTTTTCAACGCTTTGTAACGCTACAGACACGATCCTCTATCATGCTCCTACCACACAGAGTCACGGTGTCAGTTAACCATGCTAATTCAACCCGCTCCACAGAACACACATCACCTTCCCTGTGGCTTACATAACACTCACACAACACGCAAATCAGCACATAGGAACTAGCAGGACGATAGGAAACACATATAACACAATACCCAGAATGCACCTGGCTTACAACCCCAGCCAGGTCATTACACTATCAAGTTCAAAGAGAACATGCTGATTACACTGCAGAACACTCTGGAGAGCAGCAGTAGGGGGTGTATGAACTACAGTAATCCCTCGTTTATCGCGGTAGATGCGTTCCAGACCTGGCCGCGATAGGTGAAAATCCGCGAAGTAGGGACTCCCAGCATGCCCCTCGCGGGGATTCCCTCTACATCGCACCTACGTCACAAACCGCGGCTATAAACCAAACGGAAGTCGCCTTTCCAGCTCACCACTCAGTCATCGTTTCTTCAGATTCATGATCAGAGTTTCCAACCTACCAATCAATCCAACGAACTATCAGCTCATAGTAAGTTATCTTACTTACTTCTGGAAAGCCCGGCATTTCCGTGTCACTTCGTTGACACTCGAAGGCTCGGGGGTTTCCTAGAGCAGCCGGCGTTTCACCGACGCTCTCACTTCCGCGTCTGTGAAACCACGCTCCCTATTGAATTACCGTATGATCACATTCTCTGTGATCAGCAACGCGCTGTGCCAGACCTTAGCTACTGACACGCGATCGTTCATGTCGGTTCATTTCCTTTAATGTTTTCTGTCTTTTATTTGCGCCTGATGTGTATCGCTGCTGTGGAGCGGGGCGCATCAACTTGTCCTCCGACTCACAGATCCATGATGCGGCCGGCAAGCAGGGAGCGCTCAGCTGTTTTCGCGGTCGGTAGATCTGCCTCCTGAGCACGGCCACAGTAACAATCAGGTGTCGCCACCTCAAAAACTAATTTAACACGCGATCGTTCATGTCAGTTCATTTCCTTGAATGTTTTCTGTCTTTTATTTGCGCCTGATGCGTTTCGCTGCATGCTGTGGAGCGGGGCGCTGCGGGCATCACCTTGTCCTCCGACGCACTGATCACTGATACGGCCGCCAAACAGCGAGCGCTCCGCTGTTTTTGCGGTCGGTAGATGTTTTAGAACTGCAGTTCAAAGGTAACTCATGAGGTGAATATATATGAACCCAGGTAGCAGTTTTTCTTTAGGATTGAGAGGAGATGCAGGAAGATAATAAACAGACAGGACAGAAAAATAGTCAAATAAAAACAAGTTAGTTTTTGTACCTGGTGGTTGCAACAAACAGACACCATTGAAGGTAATCAGAAGTGAGGAACAGAAAATGAAATAATTATTTTAATGTCTAGAGCAGCAGGAACTCCGAGAGGCTGCAGGTGCATCAGTGAGTTTGCGGCCGCTGCGCAGGGGGAGGGGGGAGAGGGCTGAGGCAGAAACTACCGTTGTTAAAAGAAATGTGTTTAACTTTGAAAATGTGGGCGCAATTTTAATTGTCAAAGACTCCAGCGAACCATTAGTTCATTTTGCTCAAATAGAAATAGAGGCCTGCCTCTAATACTGGCCCTCCTTCCAATAAAGGCCTGGAGCTTGATGAGCTTGAGTCAAATACAGGCCCGGGCCTGTATTAGAGGATTTACGGTATGTGACATTATAAAACTGGCTGTTTACTATATTATAGATACATATATGTACCTATAGTATAATATATATATTATAGAAAAAATATGTAATATAGAAAAACGGTCAATAATATACACATTCGGCCATATTCTGATTCAGGTTTTTAGTGTGGAGTGATTTTTGTGCCACCAACTGGAGCGTGCAGTGATAAATCTGCAAGAGCACAACCTGCTCTGCAGTCATATGCGGCCCTCTCTCTGCATGCTCAACTCCGTCTCTGCCTGCACAAATCTCCCTGTTGTTGCTCAATTTGCAATTTACAAAGCAATGTAGCCTCTCTGTCAGCCAATCAGACAGCTCTCCATTATGCAATCAAAGCATGTCCAGGAAATACTGCCAGGAAAATTGCACTTTTTTCAGATAAAGAGGACTTTATATAATTATATTTAATTAGGTTGATTAACCCTCCTCTTTTCCTGGGACATTTCCACTGTTCACTTCCTTTTACACATCAAGGGCTCATTTATGTCTGACCAAACAGAGAACAAACACTTTATATATTGAAATTAAAAGTCCTCTTTAACTGAAAAGAGTGCAATTTGACAGTTTTAGGAATAGGCAATGTGTCTTTTCTGGAAGTCAAATATGGTCACCCTAATCATGACACATGAATTACAACAAAGTATCTTGCAGGCAGTGGATGGTGACTGGTAGCTAACCAGCAGCAAAAAGCAGTTCAATAAGCTGTTAAATGGGTGTTTTTCTGTAAAGCAGTGTTTCCTGGACATGCTTTGATTGGATAAAACAGAGCTGTCTGTGACTGACTGTTGGAGAGGCTACTTGTTGAGGAGAGCAGGGAGAGATTTGCATCGCAGAGACAGAGTTGAGCCCACAGAGGGCTGCAGCTCCTGCACACAAGCGCAGAGCAAGTTCTGTTTGTGCAGACTCATTACTGTACGCTCAAGTTGGTGGCACTAAGTCACTCAATGAACTGGCTGGCTCGTTAATCACGTCACTTCAGGGGAGTTTTCCGACCATTTAACTATGGCGCGGCTTTTCATTATGGTTTGCGGCATGTAAACATGCTAGCGGAGTTAGCATTAGCATGTCGGTGCGGTAGCATTTTCCTCTCTCGTCTGAACTCTAACCTTGAAATATTAACGGTGTGCTGCTGTTGCTGTCTTACCCTAATGTGATGTTGAGTGACTTACAAGAGCGCTGAGCAGGGTTTGCTCATCGATATAAAGGTTTTGCTGTATAACCCCTGCCCCTGACTTGTCAACAAAGCTGCCGGGCTTAAGGGGAGGAAGTCCTTTCTTGATACTTCCTGTGTGCGACGGTGTAGTTCTATATTCATTAATTATTATTTCTGTTTCAGACTAAAAAAAAAAACTCATGTACCAACTACACGTGTCGTGATTGTGTTGAGCATGTAGATGTGAACAAATAAAAAAAAGTTAACTGAAAAAATAAAATAAACCAAAATGATAGGGGGGCTTGTGATTATTTTAGGGGGGCTGAAGCCCCCCTAAAACGGACCTAACGACGTCAGCGCATCCACCACAGGTGATGGAAGAGGACAGACCAGTTGACGCGTGGGGTGAAATAAAATGTTCTTTTATTTTCTTACAGCTCCATC